CAATTAGGGCTAAGCACTGGGCATACCGATTAGGGTTAAGCACTGACTCGAAGCCGTTACTTCTTTAGGGATAACGGTTGTTGCTATATGAATTAAGGTGGCTCCCTAGAGTATTTACTAATAACCCTAGCTATCTAGCATACGTTACAGAAGAAAATCTAGTTACTTTGTCTTTGCGATTTTGTTCACGAGATTCACCGCTGAGGTAACCTATATAAGAAGGCTCCTTTATCAAGTTTCATTTTCTGGATTTAAGGCCGTTGCCATGGCAGCATCGCATCCAGGCAGTAAATTTGTCATTTTTGATCATTTTTTCGTAATATTTCTAATTTCCCTAAGTAAAATGTTTTTAAACATTGCCACATTATATTAACGATATTGCTTAACATTTGAAAGTGAAAAAACATGGGAACATTAAGACGGTTTTGCCAATATTTTGAAATTTGTAATTTTCTTAATAAGGAAATTTAGCTCTTACAGACTTTAACAAAAAACAGACAGTATAAAGGTACTGCAGCTGTAAAGAAAAAAAGCGATTTTTTTAAAAAAAAGTGACAGAAGGAAACGTGAGAAAAGTCACGGTTACCTCTTCACTGCGCTGATGTCACAAAAATCGGAAAAACACGCGTGGTTCGAGGTCGTATGAACAAAATACGCGCGCGAGCCATCACGCCTGCATTCGCACAATGCACATAGCTACTGTAGCCATTCTTAAAGCCGTTTATTAGTATTATTAAGGTGATATCTCGCCAGTTGTAAAAGGAGAGATAGCGGATTCAATTTTACTCCTAATACTGGATGTTTTCTTCGAAGTACTTGACCATTTTAGCCAAAATTCGAGCCGTGGTGGTCACTCATGCGGATGACAATCATTGGAGATGAAGACGGTGGTTGTGCACGGATCGCAATAAGCCCTTCATTTCCCTAATCTGCTGTACACTGTTTGCAGATCTTCAAATGCCAACCCCCTTCCGGATACTTTTTCAAGCTTGTTCTTCTTTAGGTAATGCCGACGGCGAAGTTTTTCTTTAACAGAGTGCAGTAAAAGGTGGCGCTGATCTAAATACGTACATCACGCCTAGTCAGCTGCACGTACAATACCGTAGTTCTCTATGGAAGACTATTGTTTTCGTCAAGGGTCAATCTGTGACTCAAAAATTACTTTTCGTTGTGCGAAAACATTTTCTAGTGCATCTTGTGCGTTGAAGGACTTTTGAAACAAGAAAAAGTACAAGGATGTTGGTTCGTCGATGGAAAGGTTCCTTCAGAGAGCAAGTAGGAAACCTTTTTCTCATTAGTATTTTAGACTGAAAGTGATAGAGTCGGCGAAACAAAAAATTAAACTTTCACTGTCTGTAATCTTGCCTTAAAGTCACTTCTAGAATTTCTTAAATCAAATCAAATGTGACCGAGGAGCTCCGCCGGGGAAGATATTCTTCAGTGTTTGTGCGGGACTTGGCTCGATCTTCCAGATCTTTCCACTGACCGTGAACCAAAGGCCAGAAACAGTACTAGCATTGCCTACTTCACGGGTGGTGTACTTACTTCTTTGTTTTCTTTGTAAAGTTTCCATTCACCATTTACTTCGACTATTTTACGTTTGTCTACCTTTGAAGCGAAAGAATTGATGTCTTTGGAAAATTTCTGCTTTGTTTATCGACCTTTATCATACAATTTACTTTTATGGAGATCGATAGTTCCAGATAAATGACTTGTAACCGGTGTAACATTGTCTCCTCTCATAAATGTTTCACCTACTTTAACCAAACTTTTTGCACGATGGGCTTCAACAGAAAGTTAATAAAGTTCTTTTGGGGGGAATATTTCGAAACTGAGAGGCTATGTTTGTTTTATTTTTGCGTGGACGTTGCCCTGGTTTCAAAGCTTGCGCCATACAAGTGCTCAGGCTGCGCACGGCCAATTTACTCTAGGGAGCCACCTTAACTGTCAGTCTTTACGGCAGACTTTTCAACGAATCATTCAGGCTCTATTATTTGCGAAACATCTTCACCGCTTTTGCTGTTGGTTTGAGTGGCTAGAACGAAGCTAAATTCCAAAAATTAGAAAGCTTTTTATCATTGCCGTCGATTTTTGGGTACTTAGGAAAAGAGACGAAAAACACAGCTGAACACGTCATCATGGAAAAAAAAACTTTCTATCTTAGATGTCATAGAGTTCTCCTCCATTGTTATAGTGTCTGATGAGAGCCTTGTGGAATTGTAGGAACTGTGTGCTGAACAATGTGTCCCCTTGTGGAAAAAAATTTTACAATAAGGCAGAAATAATAATTAAGCTGTTGTCATTTTCACGTCACTGGTCAGAATTTCCTACGTATGTACTACAGAGATAAAACTTGAATGTGCTTAATTTCTTACAGTTAATTGTATATATTTGTTTGGGACTCTTAAAAGACTTTTAGAGGTGTTTACCTTTCAAATTTCTCTTTTAGAATAGTATAGTACAGGAGGTCCTCATTTTTCTCTGGAGTTGAGCAATTTTGCTGGAAAATGTCTGTCTAATGTGAAATTATTATACATAAGAGAGTCATAATACAGTGATGGATGCCTACATATATACATGCTTTATTTGATAAAGCAGGTTGACAGGTGGCAGCATAAGCTGACATCAGTAATGGTGTAAATTTTACATTTATTTATGATCATTCTAGGTACAAAATGCACATGTATTTGTTTTGCTTGCAATTGTGCATAAAAACTACAATGGCTACCTTAATTTTTTTTAGAAGTATCATTTAAATTCTCTTTCTTTTCCAAGGCCCCTTTCCTTCTCCAGGATTTCAATCCTTTGTCTGAGTTCTCCTTACTTTGAGTTCTGGTCTGTGGACGTTCATGAGCAAAAGTTCGTTTGTTTTCTTCAGTCTCCCGATGGTATTTTTGCAGACTAATACACTTCCAAATTACCGCAGAATCGTCCCTCCATACCCTTATATACAAACAAGTCCCCAATAGGCCGGAAGCGAGCCTTTTCTCATGAAAACAGAACATCACGAGAAAGAATTAACATAGGCCGGTTATAAGCTCAAAAACGTCATAACAACATTGGAGACGCACGCGGCCAGCCGCAGAGTGTAGCTCACGGTGACACTCAGGAAATTAAAACACAATTATTAAGGTACACAATAAAGTCGCATGAAGTTTATTAATTTCAAGTTTTCCGAACACCGTCACTTTCAAAACAAAGCAAAATTATGCTTAACAACAGTGTGTACAAGACTTTGTACGCCTCTATGATCATGAACTAAAAGACAAAAGATGATTACCTCGATGCAACCATGATAACACGAAAAATAAAATCGCGAAATCCTAAACCTTAGCTTCTTTCACAGGTTGCATTAAACAGATTTGAATTCTTGCTTTTGAATTTATTACACATTGTTCTTCTTTTCTCTTTTTTTGCTTAGTTTTTTACTTATTATCTGTAGTATCTGATTTGTAATAGAATTAATTTGGCAAGCCTCGACTAGCGTTTTTTTGCTAACTGCGTGCCAAGAAATCGTACTTGCAATATTATGATAATAAATGTCTTGTCTTGTCTTGTCTTGAATCTTTCAACTATCGGCAGGACTCCTATTTCAGTTTCGTTTACCAGCCGCAAGAGAAGAGAGTAAAGACAGCAAAAACAGAAAATACAGTGTACTGTGCTAACAAGTTGCTCTTTCATTTCTTCTACAAGCAATGCCAACGACTTTCATAAACAAGAAGCAATTTAAAAAAAATTCATCAGAACGAAAAAAAAATTGTTATGTGTTACAGGAATAAATAAGGTACAAAAATTGCACTTTAAAACCTTAGAGCAGCTAAAACCACCTTAGTATGCTACAAAACAGTACCTCAACTGAGTTCTAAAAAGGTGAAAGATTTTGTTCAAAAGAGTTCAGTTGATCGCTTTTTGAAATTGAGAATAGCGTTTCGATGTCTGTCATTGTAGTTCAAACCCAAGCACCAGTCTTTGTTGTGTTCAGTGAAGCTGAAGTTGAAAGCCTTGGGCGGACAAGATGTTGCAAATGGCCGATAAAATGACGTGTAAATTTTAACTTCGTCGTCCCCCGTTTTTAAAATCGAATGGCGGGAAGAAGGCTTGCATTTTAGTGCGCATGTCCAGCCGTTTTTAAGCCCTCTCACATGAATGTGCAATATTATCCCACACTAGCTCACTACAACATTTCTCGAATTGATAAAACCAAATTTTCGTAGCCATGGGGCTAGCCAATCAATATACTCCTCTCCCGACGGGCTGACTCCTGACTTCCTCCCCCCTCCCCCAGAGTCTGTACAGTCAGCGTTATGTCGCACGTTGACGTCATAACCAAATTTTCTCAGACGGATAGATTGCCAAATTGTATTAGCTATGGGGCTCCGCTCGCGCGAGCTTACGCGCACGCGTGGAGCTTCGCTAAAAACAGCCTTCCAAAATCTCCGAACTTGAAAAAGTTGGACAAACTTTTGTAAGTTTGTTGTCATTGATTTGCGGATGCGCCAGGGTTGACATAGTCCCTTAAAGCAAAGAAAAAGTCGCCCGCCAAAGACGTCGGCACGCAGCCGAGTAGTCCTGGGTCTAGGATGTCGCAAAGTCCGTCAACCAATCAATTAATATTGTGTTAAGCAAAACAAAACATCGCGGACGTAGCCGGCAATAATGTACGCAAAAAAAAAAAAAAAAAAAAAGATTTTTCGCCAGGTTTTCTTTTTTTTTTGGGATATGCCCGGGCAAGCTCGAGAAATGCTCTTGCTAGCGTTAAGTCATCACTTTATTTCTGAGAAAGAATTTTTGTTTTTATTCGACGCCAGCTTTTCCAAAAATCCATCGTTTCCGTACGAAGACTACGATCGGTTTGATCTGGATGCTAGGGACGAAACTGACTTCTTACACAGGTTTCGTGTAAGAAAAATGGACATTTCTCGACTCGCTCATGCCCTTATGATTCTGAGAGTCTGTGCTGCAATCAACGATCAAAAGCCGACCGGATAGAGGGATTGTGCATGTTGCTAAAAAGATTTGCGTACCCGTGCTGGTTGAGCGATATCATCCACCGAATCGGACGAGTAGTGCCTGAGTTACAACCCATTTTCAGGAGGGGGTTTAAAATAACCATCACAGCAAGATTACGGAGTGGAATAATCAGCTTCTTAGCCGAGACAACTTTGAGATTTAGTCTAATGCTATAGCCGGCAAAAGGGGGGGGCGCTGTCTCACTGCTTCGGTTTCCTGGATGGTACCATGCGGCCTATTAATTTGTAGACCTGGCGAAAACCAAACGATTGTATATAATGGCCACAAGCGTGTACACGCAGTGAAATTTAAGTCAGTTACACTACCAAATGGACTTGGACTGGTTGCTCATTTATATGGACCTGTTGGTAAGTTTTATTAGCGTAACGCTTGTTGACCAGCGTCACCCGATGTTCATCAGCAGCATATAAGACACCATATATGTCTCGATTTACTGACCTGCTTCTATGTTTTCAACTCACACAGAAGGCACGAAATTAACATTATGCAACGATGCTGAAGGATTCTGGATTATTAGAAGACCTTGAGAGAAATGCATTTAATCTGGCTAGAGAAGCTAGTGTAAATGTATGGTGACCCTGCTTATCCTCTGCGAATTCACCTTCAGGTCCCTAAAGTTGACAGATCGATAGATTCCATCGTATCATGAGAATGTTTTCTTTGGTGCTGCTTTCCACATAGTCCGACGCCGCCGCTGCCATGGATTTCTTTGCGCTCGCCATTCCTTTAGGTCTTAATCCTTTCGAGGTCTAAGAAACGTTTTAGTTTTAATAATTATAACAATAAAGGTCTTTGTTGTGTCTTAAACAAAAATACATGCTAAAAACCAAAAACACTTTAACATTAAAAACAGCGAAAAGAATTACAAGACCATTCCATGTAGAAGCATTGAATTTAACATTCAAGATCCATATTACATTATAAAATAGCTACTCTATATTTGAAAAATAGTCTACTAAAAACACGCTTGTATTAATCCTAGGAAGTTAACTGCTAGGAACTCGGAGGAAAGCTTCGTTTTGGTGAGGGAAGGGTACAGAGGGTAGCCGGGTATACTGGAGATCTTCTTGAATAGTGAGCGATCTACCTCTTGTAATACGTCGTATATGTCAATTTGGTAAGAAATATATTTGCGTTTAAAGCAACGCTGTAGAAAATTCTGGACCGTTGTTAATTCAGGTATTGAGGAGGCGTATATAGGAAGCCATGCGTTACTTTCGGTAAAAAAAAAATTGATCTAAAAACTTAATCTACATCTGGTTGTTGGCATTCCTCTTTACGTAAACATCTTATCACATAAAGACACTTATTGGCCTCCAGCAGCTTAACCTTAATATGCTCATGCTGGTATTGTCTTATCATGTCCTAAAATCAATACCAGTTTGGTTTTGCGTAAGCCAATCAGATTACAGGAAATCATACTTCCACTTCTCAGGTCGTGGCCCTAACTGGCTACATATTATTCATAATACAATGCCGAGTGGTCAGTGAATCGTTGCTGCATGTCCTAAAATCAATAGCAGTTGAAAACTAAAGTTACTACAAGAAAAAACAAACAAACAACAAACAATCAAACGAAGAAACAAAACGGGAAACACATGCCTTCGGGTTATTGTTGTCGTTGGCAATCAGCTTCAGTTGCTCCCTTCAAACATTGCCCCTGAGTAACATAAGGGACAGGCTATGGGAACAAGAAATGGGGAATTTTTGAACCGCATAATTTTTCTGTTCCCATGAACATTTCCCTTGCCTGAGTTTTTAAGGCCAGTGATGGAACACTTCTTAGAGCTACTCCATATGCATGTTTTTTTAATATTAATTTTCTTGTGCACGAATTTTTTTTGATACTTAGGCCCCCCACCTCCAAGTAACTTTTTTAATAGTCTGCGTCCCTAAGTAAAGCATGACTGTTACAGGTAACATTAACAGTAATAGTAAATCTTTATTGCGCCTTACTCCCCATAAGGAGGCGCCCGTCTGTTTACAATAAAGTAAAAATAACTAATTCTAATGATACACGCAAAATAACTGTGTACTTAAAAGGCTTACATAGAATAGAGTTCACTTGAGTAAAGTAAAAGGTGACTTATTTGAAAAAAA